GTAAGATCTGTAAGAATCACCTGGGGATCTTGTTAAACTGTAGATTCTGATTCAGTATATCTGGAGTGGAAAGGTGAATTCTCAGCAGGATGTCAAGCCAGAATGAACCTGTTGCAAGCCCTGCTCACAAACCACCCAACTTGTGGTATTTTGTTACTGGCAGCCCTAGGAAATTAGTGCACCTGTGAAATACAGATGATAATACTGACTTCATCAGGTTGCTGGAGGATTTAAGTGAGTAAGCGCATGTTAAGCACTTTAACTTACGAGGCTCAGAGTAAATAGTAAATACTAATTGGAGGTGTTGGTGGCTTTTATTGTTTTTTTTTTTTTTCCCCCTGAGTAGTTGATGGGTTAGTTGTCAGTGACTTAATCAAAACTGCAATCCAAAAAGATCCCTGGTACCTGTGAGTTCAGATGGAGATGGCTGGACATGCTCAGAGGCTGGTTGTAGTAATCCAGTATGGTCTGGGTTAGCTAGGATAAGGGCCTGGGGAGGCCATTTGAGATTACAGACACAGAGTCAATAGGACTTTGTGACTAAGTTGGTATCTTGAGTGTGTGTTTGTGTATGTTTGTGTATATGTATGTGTGTGTGTGAATGGATATATTTGTGAGTGTGGTATGTGTATGAATGTGTGTGTGTATATGTTGAGGGTGGGGCAGGATGACAAGTATGAAGTTAAAGGAGGGCACCAAGGTTTCTGGTGCAAGTACCTGGGTGGGAGATTAACTCCAGCTACAGATCAGAAGCATATGAGAGGGTACTGGTCTGGGAAAGTAAAATGATGAATTCCTTTTGACCTGTTGAGCTGGAAGTACTTGCAAGACACTTTTGTGGAGAGGTTCAAGAGGCATTTGAATATTTGGACCTAAAATTTGGGATATGGGTGTGAGCTGGCGATACCTCTGGGGTTCTTTAGCATCTAGTTAAAGCCTTGGGATTGGAGGTGGAATGTAGCTCCTGCTGTCTGTCACTACCAGGAATTGGTAACTTGGCACATCTTGCTGGATTTCTGCAGAGCACTGACAAGTGGCAACATATAGCTGAAGTGGAATCATGTAATTGTCATACCTGAGACACTTTTTCCTCTGATAACTTGTGATTTTCTCATTAGTGAAATTATATCAATCCTCTCTGAAGATAGTTTCTACTTTCAGACTTTATCATGCCTTTATATTAAGAAACTCATAGAGTTTATTAGCCTCAGCATATACTCCTTTATAAGAGTCTGGTAGCATAGTGCCTAAGGCACTTGACTGCTAACCAGAAGACTGGCAGTTCAAACCCACCAGTCACTCCTCAGAAGGAAGGTTAGGCAATCTACTTCCGTAGTGATACTGCCTCGGCAACCCAAGGAGGGGTCGCTATGAGTCGGGTCTGACTGGACGGCACATAACAACAAGAGCAACAACAATACTCCTTTATAGTTGGCCAAACTTGCCCCCTTATTAAACTTCAAGGAGCCCTAGAAACATTTTCTGGAGTTTGATGACAATAAGTGTGTATCTACTATTTTCTTTTCTTCCCAGTCATTTGGTCTGCTGAATCCTAATCTCAAGTCTATCTTTAATGAGTATTCTTCTCCAGGTCAGGAGCTAGGTGGACCAAGGCCAATCAAGGAATCTTGGTCTACCTTCACTAGTTAACCAATTGGCATTTCACAGGGAAATGTCTCCTTTTGCATAAAAGACAGATATGTGATCTCCCCCCCACATACACACACACACACACCATCATCACCACCAACACACACACACACACACACACACATCTTCAATTCCTGCTAAAAGAGCAACCAGATCTCCTTGGAGATGATAGGAATCTACCTAAAGTAGCTCAAGTAAATGTATAGGGTGGGGTCAGGAAGAATTTGGACAGCTGCTCTTATTATATTCTTTTGTTGTACTAACTGCTTTCCATACAGCCCCCAACTCATGGCAACCCATGCACAATGGAACAAAATGCTGCCTAGTCCTGAACTATCCCTATAATGGCTTGCAACTCAGAGCATTGTGATCCATAGGGTTCCCACTGGCTGATTAACAGAAATATATAGCCAGACCTTTCTTTCTAGTCCATCTTAGTCTGGAAGTTCTGCAAAAACTTGTTCAGAATTGTAGCAACTCACAAGCCTCCACTGGCAGGTGGTGGCTGAGAAGAAGGTGTATTGGCCAGGAATCAAGCCCAGGTCTCCAGCATGGAAGGTGAGAATTTTACCGTTGACCCACCATTGCCTCATGCTGTTATTACACGGATCCAGAAAGACTTGGGGAATCTAGGGAAGACTCTGAATGGGATGGGAGCCAGATACAGTTCTGAGCCCTGGTTTTCTCTTCTTTTTCCTTCTTCTCACTCTTTCCTCTCTCACTCCCAATTGATTGCTCACTCCCCATCTGTCTATTGATTGATCTTTCTATCTCTCTCTCTCATGTTCACAGAACTGATGTCTGTGTCTTGGTTACTCTCTGGGTACCACTGACTACCAAGTATCTGTCTGTCCTCCCCTCTCCTTCCTTCTTTCAGCTCGTACTGATTCTCTTCCTACCTCCACCCCACAAAACTAGTAACTGATTTCCTGGAACTTATAATTCGATCCAAGACTGCCCATACACCAACATTGAATGACCATTTTGCCCTGGAGTCCTTAGCCACCTGGCAATGATCTTTTGCACAGACTCCGAGTTCCCAAATAGGATCTAATAGGTTCAACTCGTCCTCCTGAGCTCAGCCACACAGTCACTGGCTTCTGGCCAGCCTATAATGGGTCTCCCTCATGTCAGACACATACCTTGGCTAGTTACCCATGACAGGTGGGGCAATGAGTTACAGATTCCCTATTACTACATACCAGGGGCTGTGGGTGGGTTTAGAGTTCTTGAGAGGGGGTAAAGGGGCAGGACTTACCAATAACATCTAGCATAAGAACTATCTAGCACAAGGATATCATAAACTAAAAAAAAAAAACCAAGGCCATTGGTATCCAGTCTATTCTGATTCATGATGACCCCATGTCTTACAGAATTGTACTCTGTTGGGTTTTCTTGGCTGCAATCATTAGGGAAGCGTATCACCAGGACCTTCTTCCACAGAGACTCTAACTGGGTTCACACAGCCATCGTTTTGGTTGGTAGTCAAACACAAACCATTTGTACCACTCAGGGCTCTGCAAATGAACCTATACCTGGTTGTTGTTGGTGGTGGTGGTGGTGGTGATGTTAGGTATTGCCAAGTTGTTTTTGATTCATGGTGACCCCATGTGACAGTAGAACTGCCCCATGTTGTTGTTGTTGTTATGTGCCGTCGAGTCAGCCCCGACTCATAGCGACCCCTCCTTGGGTTTCCGAGGCAGTATCACTACAGAAGTAGGATTGCCCAACCTTCCTTCCGAGGAGTGGCTGGTGGGTTTGAACCGCCAGCCGTCTGGTTAGCAGGCAAGTATCTTAGCCACTATGCTACCAGAGCTCCCGAACTGCCCCATAGGGTTTCCTAAAGTGTAATCTTTATGGGAACAGATCTCCCAGTAGATGATCCTAAATTTGGCTCAAGCTACAAATGGAAGTCATGGTTTTTAAATTGTGTATAGTAACCTCTGCACTAATTCAAGGGTACGTATCTCTGAAATGATGAATTTCACATCTTCCAGCCACACAAAACATGGCATGAAATTAAACTTTCAGTCTAGGTGTTCATTTTATTCTTACATCAGGGTGCAGAGATGGATTTACTGGATTCTGAATTAAACCATCCTGATGGAGAACATGGATTGTGCAGTTTTTCCATTCATGAAGATTTTTTAGGCATGATTTTGAAAAAGCCAGTTTTCTGTCCCCTAGAATTGGGAGCCACCTGGAACATTCTCCACTGGCCAGTGAACTGCAGGGGGCAGGTCGTGACGTGGACTGCCAACACAGGAACTGACCCACTCCTCAGCAGAGTCATCCCACGGCCCCTGGAAGTACTCCTCCTCCACTTCTCCTTTTAGCCCCCCTTCCTCCTCATCACTCTCTGGGTGCCCATCTTGCAGCTCCTGTATCCCCCACTGTGGTCTTAAGTCACAAAACCAGCTATTTTCAGACTTTCCCAGAGTGTCCGAAAACAGGGTTTGATTGGACAAACCATGGTCCACTTTTATACAATGGAAACATTATAGAACTTTAATCTGTCAAATGCTGGGGGGCGGGGGGAAGCACATCACAAAATGCAGCTTGTGCTGCTTAGCTCTTAGAAATGCAGAGTGCTTCAGGAGGAAGAGAAAGTGAGTGTGCTTCCACCCCACAAGTGGTTTTGGTATAGAAAACATGCCTTGAAATCAGGCACTACAAATACAGAAAAAGGGGTTTGATTTGGTTTTTTAATGAAAGTAGAACTACTCTTTCCATGCTAATCAGATTTAATGTTTAATGTTTTCTCACTTTTGTCTATGTGGATAGTCTCATTATCTCTCCAGCTGCCAAGTTAATCAATATATATTGTGGGAAAGTCTCATCTCCCCAGGATCTGAATTAGGTGGGATCCAGTTCTGACAACATGAGTTAATCATCACTAGAAATATTGGCCAGAGCTGGGGATGTTTGTATTCCTTGGGGACAGTTTAACATCTCTGGATAAATATTCCAGTCCACTGACTGCCTTCTCTGGGCTTCCCTTTCCCAAACTTCCTCCCCCATAAGAAGGATGAGCCAAAAGCAACATGTTGTGTCCCTTGTAATTAGAAAGCGAGGATAATACTTCAAAACAATTGGCTATAAGCTGTCATTGGCATTCAGTAATATGTTACTATATAATGTGTTTCTTCCTGCAGATTTATAGACCAGCAATATGACTGCCTCTGCCCTCATAATCTGACCAGATTATTTTTAAAAGGATTTCAGGAGTAGGATTGCTGTCTATGTGGCCTCCAGCTCTTAGGAGAGATTTTATCCTTATGAGACAACAAGTTGTCATGTGAATGAAAACAAATGAGAAATGTCTTCTTCTTCTTCTGTCCCCTCTTTAGAATAAGAAGATCTACTTGGACATTATTCATACATATATGGAAGTGCATGCAACTGTCTATGGCTCCAGCACCAAGAATATTCCCAGTTATGTGAAAAACCATGGTATCCTCAGTGGCCGGGACTTGCAATTTCTTCTCAGAGAAACCAAGGTAAGTTTCCAGTCATTTTGTAAAAAATTATCTTATTTGCAGGTTTGTTTCCATTTGGTTTCAAGATGGGGGTCAGAATCTTTCCTGCTTCCTTTTCAAAGTCATAGCATCTCCTAGGGTCATTTCTGGGCAGTATTTTTCTAAACCAGCTGTAGCTTAAAAGTTAATGAATTGTAGAAGGAGATGCCTACAGTTTTGTTCATTTATTTGATCAAAAAGATTTTTACTGAGTACTTACTCTGTGCCAGGGATCAAGTGAGGGCCTGGGAAGCCCCAAATAGGAAAGCTAAGTCCCCCCCTGGAGGGACAGACCTTCTGATAGAGCAGCAGCTTGCACAGTGAGCTGGGGGTGCTTAACTTACACCCATCACCCCTATTTAATGAATTGGTCCCTCTACTAGCTTTTCCTTGTACTTTCTCATTCAACAAGTATGTATTAGACATGGAATAACTTCAGATAAGAGGGAAGAAATCACTGGAGGCTTAGGAAACAGGGAAGGCATCATGAAAGATGCATGAAGGATAAATGGGAGGTAGATGCACCTGGCATTTGAGACAGACAGAAGTAAGAGTCAGGTTGTGGAGCTGGGGATGATAGTTCAGGAAAGAGCTAAAAACCAAGCCAGCCAGTCTACATGTTGGAAAATAGTAAAAGATAATATTTGATCAAGGAATAAGGATCTGATTGTCAAACACATAGGCAGAGTCCAGACCAAGTGGAGTAGGCAGCTGGGGGAGCCCCTGGAGAGTTGAGGGGTATTTTGCAGAGCAATGTTATGGTGCATTGATGTCATGGACAAGTCCACCCAGTGTCCAATCTGGTTAATGATCTGTGTTCTTTCTGTAATTCTGTTTTGTTGTTAGTTGCTATCAAGTCAGTTCCAACTCATGGCTACCCCACGTATGCAGAACAGAACTGCTTTTAAAGCTGTGACCTTTCAGCCCTGTGTTATGAGGCACTTCTGGATGGATTCAAACTGCCAATCTTTTGGCTGGTAGTTGAGCACTTAACAGTTTGCATTACCCAGAGACTCCAGTTCTACTGTCAAAGGAAAAAACCTCAAACTCACTGCTATCGAGTCAATTCCAACTCATAGCGACCACCACTGGTTTTGTAAATCTTTACAGAAGTAGACTGCCCCATCTTCCTTCTGCAGAGCAACTGGTGGGTTTGAACCTCCAACCTTCTGGTTAGTAGTCAAATGCCTTAGGCTCTGCACCACCAGAGCTCCTTAGTTCTACTCGAGAAGTACTAAATGGAGTTAGGGAACTTGCAAATAGCCCTGAGTTTGGCCTTGAAGGGTTGATTGGTATTAAATGTATTAGATAAGCTCTTTCATGCTTACTAACAAAATCTTGTTTATGAATTTAACAAATATTAATTGAGCAACTTCTATGTGTCAGGCTCTGGCATGGGATACAAGAGTGAAAAAGACAAAACAGCATCATCACTGTACATTTTCTAAAACATAAGGAAGTATATTATCAGTAGTGAATTTTTCAACTCTGGTCGCTAGCTGACTTTGTTTTTATTTTCAAGGTAAGGGGAGAAAGGCTGGCCAGGTGGACTTTATGGCACGCTAGTGATTTCTAATCATTGTGTGACACATGGTTTTTAGCAAGTGTATTCACATACGCTGTCTTATTTGATTCTCACAACAGCCATAAGAGGCAGGCAAGGAAGGTATTATTATCAACTTTATTTTATAGGTGAGGAAGGTATCTGCAGAGTTTGATTTGCCCACAGTCACAGGAGTCAAGTAAATCTTGGAGCTGGCCCCAAATCTAGTTTTTTGTTTTTTGGGGTTTTTATTATTATTATTATTATAAATCGCAAACCAGAAAACCAAATTCACTGCCACTGAGCCAACTCCAATTCATAACAACCCCATAGGAGAAGAACTGCCCCATAGTGTTTCCAAGGCCATAAATCTTTATGGAAATAGACTGCCTCATTTTTTTCCCACAGAGTGGCTGATAGGTTTGAACCACTGACCTTTTGGTTAGCAGAATGCTTTAACCATTGTGCTACTAGACACTAAAACCAAACCCACTACCATCAAGTCAATTCTAACTCATAGCGACCCTCATTAGGTTCCCAAAGTGGTGAATCTTTATAGAAGTAGATTGGCCTGTCTTCCTTCTTTGGAGTGGCTGGTGGTTTTGAACTGCCAACCTTCTGGTTAGTAGTCAGATACCTTACCAACCAACCAAACAGTGTCATCGAGATGGATCCAACTCACAGCAACCCCTCCTTTGGTTTCTGAGGAGGTATCACTATGGAGATAAATTGCCCAATCTTCCTTCTGAGGAGTGGCTGGTGGGTTTGAACCACCAGCCTTCTGTTTAGCAGTCAAATGCCTTAGGCGCTATGCCACCACAAAAATCACAACATCTCCTAAATCCTCAGCATACCACTAGTTGCCATGAAGTCGATTACAACTCATGTTTGTCAAATAGAACTGTTCCATAGGGTTTTCAGTAGCTGATTTTGTGGAAGTAGGTCACCAGTGCTTTCTTCAAAAGCACCTCTGTGTACACTTGAGCCACCAACCTTTTGGTTGACAGCTGAGCAAATTAACCATTTGCACCAAACAGGGGCTTCTATCCTCAGCATACCATCCTCATAGATAAAAGCCCAATTTCAAGAATATTTAATGCACACCCACCAGCCAACTGAATATACAGCTCCTTTCTGCCTCCATTTCTCCAACTGTAAATGCATTGCATTATTTCTAGGTCCAGGTCATTTGCACGATGGCATGAATAAAACAGCAAATGGCAAATTTGCTAAGTAAAATAATAAATAATAAAATGGCAAAGGGCAATGAAACAAATGGCAAAGTTGTTAGTTCCTTGGCTAAAGACTTTGTTTATTTTAATTAAAATTTTATTTCTTTAAAAGTTTTTCTATAGTCTGATAACTCTGTGTGTTAATTCCACCCATTGCTTTCCATTCACCTTCTGACTCAAGTGGACGTTTTAGAGTCATCAGAATGTTGAGGCCCTTTAGTGGCAATGCTATTTTTTGCCATTTGCCTCATTTTACTTTTCCCCACGTAGGATTGTGGGAACAGCTTAGGCTTCTTTAAAATAACATTTGGCAGAGCTGTTTTTCAGCAGCATGTCATTACTGTCTCACACACTTCTATTAACTTCAGCTCATGGATGTCTTACTCAGCCTTGCAAATTTTAAAAGAACCTTTACTCCCTACCATCCACTTACCCTGTCAGAGAACAGGAAATAGGCCAGAACTGACATCCCTGATATCCAGAAGAGGATGGCAGAGAGGCCGGAAGGCTCAAGCCATGATGTCAGGGATTGCCCTAAACCCACAGTTAGGACTTGAATTCTGAGTGCAAGGGGCATGATCTTCATCCTTGAAAAACCACTGCATTTGGCGGATGTCACTGACCCCATAATATGTTGCCTGTTCATCTGACTAGAATATATTAAAATACTCTGAGTGGAGTTATGGCTAAAACAGTTGGCAAATAGGATGAAAATGAGGCAGTGTATCTCTAAGTCTCCCCTTCTACCCAGAACACAGCAGCAGGCGCTAAAATGAATGAATCTTGAGCTTTGAAATAATGACACTAAAGACCAGTCAGGCTTTACATTTATAACTCTTTCTGCCTCTAACTCTGTCCTCTGTGTCTCGGAGCAATTTAAAAGCAATTTATTCCACCCGCATTGGAAGTGGAGAGCTGGAGGTACAGAGAAGTATATGCCTGCAGAAGGAAAGTGATTCCCACACTCCTCAGACTCGTTATTTGAGGCAAACAAGTCTATGGCTCCTCAAGAGGCTCCGAGACATATAGAAATGATTGATGCTTCATCAGCTTCTGACTCATTATTTCTCTTTATGAGCCATCTTCGCATTTCTGCACCAAGCCCAGGAAAGTCTCTGCTCAGCAGAATTTTGACCTGCCATGCCATTAGGGGCCCAGGTGTCATGAGCCAACTCCTGCTGCAGGGAGTCTGTGAAGACAAGAGGAATTCATGTAATGAAAATCTGGTCTAAAAGGGCTGGGGAGTTGTCAAATCTAAAGACCATTCTAATAGGAATATAAATTTGGGTGAATTAGTTATTTATCAAAGGTCCACAGATAAGTCATTCTGTCTAGCAAACTCCAGGCATACAGTTTAAGACAACACATCAGGACTCACTCTATGAGTTGAATCACCTTGATGGCAGTGGGTTTGGTTTTTGGTTTAGGGTGGCAGGTTTTTATATGTGATAAATCCCTGTCTCCTTTAATATGATTTCTTTCTGCGCCATGCAGATTTTAACCTCTTCATGTCTTTCATGTTCTTCCCATGAGAAACTTATTATTCCATATTACATATTGATAAGGCATCTGCATCCTACACTGAGATGGAGACACATCTAGAGTGGACCAGCATGATTTGTGAACCAGAATAGGTCCCTGCTGTTCTGCCATAAAAGTCAAGAACAAATTCTGGCTGCAGAATACCAGGGAAAGAAGTACTGCTGCTCGTGCTGTATCTCTCCCCTACCCCAACCTTTGCTCATTGCCCTTCCAAAGCTTGGGTGGTCATGGTGACCCTCCTCCCCAGCACATTAGTTCATAAGATTACCTCTGGGAAACACCTAGAAGCCAGGAAAGGATTGACAGATAAACAGTATATGGAACCCTTGTATCATCCTTGATCCCCTAATTAACCATGGCTCTTTCCACTGAGCTTGACTGTGGTTGCATAACCTTTCTCAAAAACCCAGGACTTAAGGCAGCTGCAACCAATGGAACCAGACCCTCAGACAGCTCTGTGAGGTCAGAGGGACTTTTCTTGTTCTGTTCACAGTTCCATTCCAAGTGCTAGGACAGTGCCTGGCTTGTAGAAGGCATTCCAATAATCATATAAAGAATGAAGGAATGAGTAAAAGATGAAAACCAGTGGCTACCTAGGACCTTGGGCCAACCATCTAGAAGTGATTTCTTCTTGTTCTCATGAATCACATGCCGACATCTGCAGG